AGGCGAACCTAGAGCAATGAATCAGGCTGGAGGGCGCGAAATCCAATTTCACAAAAGCAACTTCCAAGCAGAATTCAGCTACAAAATTTTTTAAATCATTTCTGATGCTATTACTGGTAAATTCACGACTTCGCTTCAAGTGCAGTACAAAAAGAAGCAAACGATAGCGAAAACTGAAAAAGTCGGTCACTTCGGATTTGCCCCTCTCGCCTTCAGACATGCTCCGATTATGCAACAATTTGAATGGATTTTGTCTGACACTCTAAAAGAGACAATGCTTCTTATTACTACATCATTTTTACTGTATGCTCATAACGTGAAGCTCTTTTAAACCATAATATCCACTACAGACATTTCGCATGAGAGCCTCATGAATGAAATTCAAAATATTTTGCGCATTTAGAAGGTCGCAAAGATTATAAAGAAACTGCGGAAAAATAGAAGACAAATAATGAGAATAAAGTCACTTATGCATTCGAACGCGTTAACTCCAGCAGATGCCCCTTGTAACACAGCTTCTCCGTAACTTCATTCCAATTAACAGCGTTATTCTTCCACGGCAAATCGTGCCCTTGTTTGCTGAAACTAAGCTCCAGTATACATGAAATTGGGAGCAAAAATCTGACCGTCTCAGTCGCAATATTTGCAAACTTACTACATAGCTCGAAAGTTATTGCGCCCTCTTTTCGCCCATTCATCGGCCTGATAAATAGGCTCGGGAAGAGAGATCGCCGAGTTTGTAATCTGATGCGCATAGCAAAGAGCGTTGATAAACGCTTGCAATTCATCCATGCTCATTTCAGCTTCGTTAACCAAAACAGTATAGGCTGGTATCTTGCCAGTCCCCTGTAAAAAAAGGGCTGTAATGAGCAGAGCACTATTTTGGTTCAAACGAATCCCCACCTACCAACACAACGCGAAACGCGAAATAGCACTAAAAGCATACCTTGATTACTTTGTGCGACTGCATAAACAATTCAGTAACATCGGTGCGCGTTACGGTGTGATCGATCACTGTTCCCGGCAAACAGTTCTCCACCACACCTAAAAGAATTCCCTTTAATATTT